GTATATTTTTCTTTCTCTTTTTTATGCTACAAGTGGAACATTAAGTTGAGTAATTAAATAATACTGTTTTCACTTGGTCTGCTAACGTGTTTCTACTCTTTAATTAAAACTTAAGTCATTTTATATATTCTGAATTAGGAGAACTGTCCCCAAATTTTTTTTCTAAACAAATTAAAACTAAAAACTTTAGATACTAGATTTAAAATAATCAAGTAAAAGTTATTCTCACTTGAGTTAAAAATACAATATGATTTATATTTTTCCCTATAGGATCAGTTTGGGTAAGGTATTTAATTATTTTAGATTATTTGAAATAGCTTAAGATTTTAGCTGCTGTTAACAATGTGATGAAATGGCTTAAACATAAATGTAAGTCATTTTATATCAGAAAAAAATACAGTTTAGGTTGGATAAAAAGCAGGTGGAGCTCTGAACAGTGTGACTTTGTTGAGCATCGTCCCACAAGGCAAAACATTGCTGGTTCAGTTCCTGGTCAGGGCACATGCCTGGGTTGTAGGTTTGTCCCTCGTGGGGCCTGTATGAGAGGCAACCAACAGATATTTCTCTCTCCCATTGTTTCTCTCCCTCTCTTTCTCCTTCCCTTCCCCTCTCCCTAAAGATAAATAAGTTTTACACACACACACACACACACACACACACACACACACGTATATATTTAAAAAACAGGTGGAGATCAATTTTGTTTAGAATTTTCTAAGTGGTTTCTTAAAAGTATTAAAAAATCACAAGCCGTACCTGGCATATATAAATACCCATGTATTTGTATGTTTATGGTGGCTATATAAGAATATTAAAGCTATATATTTTTCAAGTAAATTTCAAGAGTTATAAAAATGTTCACATTTCATGAATTATCCCCACTTTCTCTTAATTGCTAAAGTACTCTTTAGCTTTAAGTTTTCTTAACCAACTAGTGTTTATCATTTTTTACATTCGTAAATGACGTGTGCTCACTGTAGGGACATCGGGACCTAGTACAACTGTGTGCATGTGCAAGTTGAGAAACACCCACCATCCACTCACCTGTGCGTGACTTTATGTTAACATTTTGGTGCAGACTTTTCAGTCTTCTCTTAATGTGCATAAATATACACAAACATACAATTATTTTCTCAAAAAAACTGTGACCCCATTTGTGGTACTGTACGATGATTTCACTTAGTGATATACTTCTGACATGCATTTTATTTCATTTATTTTATTTTTGTGTGTTTTGATAAAGCTTTACTGAGAACAGCAGGCTGCAGCTGGATGTAGTGTGCTGCTGCAGTTTCCCACCCCTGTTCTAGAGCACTGCTGGGGAAATCCGTGCGTCCACAGCGCTTGTGTTCGGGCAGCCACTGTGTGGTAGTGGAAAGAAGCTTTGGACTCAGCCAGTCTGGGTTCAACTTCCTGTGGGAGAACTTGGGCATGTTATTAAACTTCTCTGACTCTTAATTCACTCATTAGAAAATGTAAATGAAAGAGTGATGAGTGCACTGTGCCTCACTCAGTACCTGGAAAATAGAGGAATTGGTGAAACAGTTACTTGTTTCTGTTCTTATTTCCCTTATTCCTTCTTAGTGTAGTGTCCAAGGTGTGAAGGTGTTTTGATATTTTTGTCGCATTTGGTAGGCACTGCCACATTGCTTCTTAGAACCTGCTGCCCCAATATGTTGCTACCCCTGGTGTGTACCTGTTTCCCCCCAAGTTTACTAGCATTGGGTAGTTCGATTTTTAAAATTAATTAATTTTTATCTAAGTAGACTTGGTACACAGTATTAGGTTCAGCTTTATAGTGTAGTAATTTGACATTTATATATCTTACAGTGTGATCATCACATTAATTCTATCACCGTGCAAACTTATCACAATATTATTGACTATATTCCCATTTTTCTTCTTAATTTCAAAACCAGTATTACTTTATTTTTCAAGTATATTAGGTAATAAAACCTCAACATTTTCAGCCTTTTTGACTGCCTCCCACCCACTTCCCTTCTGGCAGCCATTTGTTTGATCTCTATTTGTGTGAGTCTGATCTTTTTGTTTTTGTTTTTTTATTTTGTTGTTGTTGTTTCCTTACAGGAATTTTAATGGCTGCATGTTATTAGGTGTATATGTAGTGTATCATTATGGAGAAGCGAAGTTAAAAGTGAAAGCCGTAGCTTTGACGTAATTAATGTTGGATGCTCTCAGACCATTTGTAATTCTAGGAAGGAGTGATTGGATAAGTGATTTAAGTTTGCTTTTGATATCATGGCATTCTCCAAAGTTTGATTTGGAAAAATTGGTTGCGGTGATATTTTTTTAAATCTGTGACCTGCTTCAGGGGAGGGTGGAGAGGTCCGAGTCCTTCCTGCACCTGCTGTTTCTCAAATTCCTTCATCTTAAAATATTCAGTACACCAACATGCTGATTTGGGGTGCTGTCCTCCAGACCCCATCAAAATATATTACTTGTTCAAAAAGTGTCAAGTTTATGACATGATGAACATGTATCTTACTATGTATATGACTTGTTTCCTTCATGGGATTTTTTTCCCTTTGATCTTGAACTTAAGCTATTTTCATAACTAATGCTCTTAGGTGGCTTTCTTTGTATAGCTTAGGCTTCATTCTGATTTTCCTCTAGTCAGGATGTGTTAGGGTAGTGTTGGAGACGTTGGGTTTGAACCACAGTATTTATATGTGTAAACAAGGCGCTTTGCGTACAACAGATCAGTAAATTTTTGAAAACAAATATTTATAATTTGATTGCAACCATTGCATCTGTGACCTTATACCATTTTTGTACAAGGTGTTAGATCCGTGTCTTTGTAAAAATACGTTGTGTGGTGGTAATCATTTCCAGCTATGCTTACGGATACCACCCCATCAGGGAAGATTCTGCTGTTTTTAAAGTGTGTCTCATTTATCCACTGTGGGAAGGTTGGTAACCTAAGAATTAGAAGTTAGCATGTCATAGTCAGCTTGTGTTTTTATAGGAAACTAAAATACAGTGAAAATGATGCATTTGCTTAAAAAGGAAAGCCTATTCCTAAACATTGCCTAACATTTAAAGGTGTAAATTTTCATAGGTTAAAACATTTTAAATATATCATTAAAATGTTAATTTCTTGATGTATTGTCCTCATCTTTTATTTCTTAATTTGTAAATTTGAGTGCTAAATAAGTTGAAAGTAATGGCAAAAGGAATGTCAGTTATTCGTTCACCAGTATCTATACCTAGTAGTTTGTAGAAGTGCTTTCCAAACATTGCAAACAGCTATAGATTAGCTATCAAATGATTGTGAAGATTAATGACTAGTCTTTTAGCTGGGTAATTTAGAACAATATCTGGTAATTAATTAGGAATTATCAGTCACAAATACCATTAGGAAAACAGTATCAAAAAGATAACAGCAGTGATAATTGCTTATTTGCCATTTTGCTTTTAGGCTATTGGAGTACATGAAGGGGAAATTAAAAAAATCGACGTCAGCATTTTAAAAGCTATTTTAATATTCATATGTACAGAAGAAACTGTAAACAAGTTGGTTTGCTTAGGAAAGGCAAAGCACTGCTCAGAACAAACTTGACTACAAATGGGAGGAATGTACAACCCATTGTATATATGTACTGGTTTTATTCAAAAGAAAAATTAATATTCTTGTACATTTTTGACATCTTGGAGTCAAATATCCTTGGAGGCTTTTAAATTCCTACAGAGATGGTTCCAAAGCCCCCCGGGCAAGACATCCCTGGGAGGTAGAACTAGCAAGAGATTGATTGATAAGTTTTATAATAAAAAATTTTAAAAATCCTTAATTTGATTAAAGTACTAGCAGATGATTACTGACAACTGAATTCATTCTAAAACCCTGGCTATTGTAGAAATCAATGGTCTGTTTTCAAAATCACTGTGTGGGTGGTAGTTACGTAGTTACGACTGGTGCTCCTTAGGTGAGTACAGAATGTGCGAGACTGCACTCGAAACTCTGACTTTTATTCCGAGTGAGTGAACGCCATTAGGGGATTGTGGGTAAGAGGGAGACGTGATCTGATTTCTTAAAGTATCAGTTTATTTGGGAAACTGATTTTCGGGAGATCATTTCTGCGTTGATACAAGTATCACCTAAGGAACACAAGTCATGTAAATACCAGCTGCACAGGGCATTATAACTTTCTGAGGCATTTCTCATTGAAACACCAATGGCAATCACATAGTGGTTGGCTGTAAGATACCTTGCAAAGGTAGACAACAATAAACATTAGACATTAAAAATCACAGCACTCTCTTTTATGCTTTTCCTCTAATCAATTTGTTTTCCAATTAGTTGGGTAAAGGGGTAAGCATGGTATGGAGATGTTCACAGTGTTGAGTACGTGACAGCCACTCATATACATGGGGCATGAATAAGTGCATGGGTGGATTAACAGGAACTTTCAGACTCTTCGTGACCAGTTCAGACTTTGGAAATTATGCTTGACCTTTAGGGAAGCATTGAATTTTATCTTCACTGCTAAAAGAATTCATATTTTTTAGCTAAGTGAGAAATTTTAGTAGCTTAATATATGGAGAGCTGCTCTAATTGTGAATATAATTAATTGATAGTTTTTAATCACTGCTGAGGATAAATCACGGGGAAACAAGTTTTCATTGCTGTTGAAACAATGTATTACCTAGTTCACCAAGCGCTTCGCAATGGTACATACTTAGATCCTGGCACAAGGTAATAGGTTAATAGAGGCCAGTAAAAGAGTGTTTTCCTTTCCTGTGCATCTTTTAGGATAGTCTAAGTAGCTACGTTCTTACTGTGTTTTGATGTCATGCATCAAGATTATTTTTTGACTCTTTAGAATTTTGGGATTTACTTATAATTTTATAAGAATGTTACAGGAAAATTGTTTTATTGCTTTATAGAAACAGTATTTTTGAAAAAAATTTAAATATATTTTATGTTCTTCATGCTTTGTTTACTTTTGCATATTTTGACTGAGTATATGTCTTTCATCTAGGTCACCTTTGAAATACACAAAGAAAACCTTGCTAATATATTTAGAGAACACCAGCAAAATATGGGTGAAGATATAGGGCAGTGCTCTTCGAGTTCAGTTCAGGCCGTCTCTGGCATTGGTGGGGATGTCAGTGTTTCCGGAGGATCCCCGCAGTCAGATACGAAGGGTTCTCCTGTGTCTCCTCGTGTCATCAGAAATAATGATGAAAACTCAAGGACTGAAAAGACAGGTTCAGCAGACTCTGCATCCAACATTGAACTGCAAACTCCTAACACGTCTGATGAAGGAAGGGAACCTGGGCAAGAAAGTCGGGAGTTACTGGATGAAGTTCCTTTAGAGGAAACATTGAGAAATGAAACAAATAATGCTGCTGATTTAGAATTACCTTCTGACGCAATAGAAGCAGGGACTGTTTCCTCTGATACTTTGAAAACAGTTGGCAAAGATCTGACGGTCAGTGAAGTAACCACTTCAGGAAGTTCTCCTTCAGAAGAGGATGCTTCAGAGGCTCCAGAGTTACTGGATAAGTCCACAGTGGAGGAAGAAGACGACGATGATTACGTGGAACTGAAGGTAGACTCCAGTCCTGCTGAGGGAGCCAGTCTACCCACAGAGCTTCAGGAGAATTGTCTGTCTCCAGGTGCAACGGAAGCCGGGGAAAGACTGGCCACGTTCAGTAATGACCAAAAATTAGTATTGCCAGAGGAGGAAACTGTAAGTAAGAAGCAAACTGATACTGAAACTCAGGATTCCAAAGATTCTGGAATCTTGACTATGACAGCATCAGGGTCCTCAGCTACCTCTCCAGACACTGCTGCTTCCCAGGCAGCTGTGCAGTCAGACCCTGCTCAGATGCTGGAGGGAGGGAAGGAAACCGCTAGCTCGGCCAGAGAAACCGAAGTGGTTAATCATGCTCACGGTAATGCCTGCGAGTCTCCTCCTACTTGTGAGCAGAGGATTGCCAAGTTGGATGTTTCCAGTGTTGCCACAGACACTGAGAGACTGGAGTTGAAGGCCAGCAGCAGTGTGGAGGCATCTCAGCCTCTTCAGCCTGTGCCTGAGGTGATTTTATTGTCTTCTTGGAATGTATTTGCATGAGTTAAAATAGGGCAAGTGTATATGCTTACATTTTATTTTATGTTGGATTTAGTTGTATCCCATTTGCGATTACATAAAGGCGATGAAGGTAAAGATTGTATTTCTTTAGCTCAGCATTTGGCTTTTCGTATTTGTTCACTTAATGGCAGCTTTTATTAGTTTCACCACAGCATCACCAAAAGTTACTACTCCTGATTTTCACGATTGGCATAATTTTAGTTTATAAAGCAGACATTGGTAATGCTTGCCTTTTACCCTTTAATTGATAACCCACACACAATGTGCACATTAGTTTTGTTTGTTTGTTTGTTTTTTTTACAAAATCTAGGATTACACTCCTGCAGAACTACCTGCTAATGTACAGTTTTTATATGAAGTATGTTGGTTTAAAATTATTCCATGAAGTCTGTTTACTTTGTAAGTGGGAGGCACTTTTGTGAGATCAGAGAGTCCCAGCTTTCTCCTTTACCAGTATCTCAGGAGTGTTCATGAGACAGTGGTTGGTTGCATATTCATTTCCCACGTCATTCTAAACTCTTTTTCTCTCTCCCTCCTTTCTGTTTCTTTGATTTATTCTTTATTCTGCTGCTTTTTTGTTTATTCTCAATTCCAGAAAGTTTATAAACCTGATACTGCTTTCTTTCATGCTAATTTTATTCAAAACAAACAACCCCTTGAATTCCATTATACAACGCTACATTAGCTGGTGGTAATACTAACATGGTTCCAAGCTAATTATTTTGAATTGGGGTAGTTTAGTATATTTGATAACTGCTTTAACTGTATTACAGTATTGTTATTTCTCATTAGTAATTTTCTCTAATTTGGTTCCTTTGTATCTTAAAATGTATTTGTTAGATGAGTTGCATAGAAGCTGTTAAATTACTTATTAATGCCATCTTTTGAAATGGAACTAATTTTGTTACTCTTTTTAATTTTCTGTATCAGACATTGAGACAACAGGAGCAGTCCGGGCAAGGAGTGGTACCCGATGCTGTTAGTGGGCAGAGGAGGGATTCAAGGTCCACTGTGTTTCGTATTCCCGAGTTCAGATGGTCTCTAATGCATCAGCGTTTGCTCACTGATCTGCTGTTTTCAATAGAAACAGACATACAGATGTGGAGAAGGTTTGTCCATATGTGTGTTATAGAAGATGTGTGTAAACTTCAGCCTTTATTTTCAAAGAAGTTTACATAGTTAACATTTTACAATTAATTTCAGGTATTTAGTTAAAATTAGAATATACATTCTTTCTATGGTAAGGTTTTACTGAATTACTTTTATTTTCCATTATAAAAATGAGTTACCCTATCTGGATTACAAAAACTAGAAAATTAGATTTTTCTTTTAAGAAAATTTGGTGAACATTTATGTTCTATAGCGTATTTTACAGCATGTAATTCACCTGGGAGTAGATCTACCAAGTGGGTTTGTTTTTAGAAGTAAAAAAATTGGGGTTTAAGAATAATATTCACTTCTACCGTGAATTTTTGGTATAAAAATTCTGTGTTTTTTGTATAATCCTTGATTGTATGATTTAGGGTTTTAAAAGAGCCTAATTTGTTTATTGTTAATTGTATACTACTTTTATTCTGTTTAAAAGCATTTTGTGGCATCATCTAAGAAAATGTTAGTAGAAAATTCATTTTCATTAGCACTTTTAGCACCATTTACCTCTTAATTTTTGCCACATGGCTTCTGAGTTTTGTCCCCAGTTAGGGATAATTTAGTTCAACTTTTTATATCAAGTGTCAGATGAATAGTATTTATGTTTCAGCACTGACAAAGGGCTTGGATAGTGACTGCTGGCATGGAATGGTCTGCACCTTCTGAGGAAGCATACACCCCCATATGCCTGCTGCGTCATTATCTTACTCAGCTTTCAAGAGGAAGCAAAAGCACCTTCTTATCCTCCCTCCCCTCAAGTAGGCAAATTGTGATTTCCTTTCTTTAGCTTTATCAGTAAACATCATTTATCTTTGGACAGCCATTCAACAAAGACAGTTATGGACTTCGTGAATAGCAGTGATAATGTCATCTTTGTACACAACACAATTCATCTCATCTCTCAAGTGATGGACAATATGGTCATGGCTTGTGGGGGGATACTGCCATTGCTTTCAGCTGCTACATCGGCTACAGTAAGGACTTAACTACTATATAAAATTGGTGTGAAAACATGACTTTTATGCATCTTTGTTGATTAAAACTTGAATGTGGTGGTTACTATGCATTCTAGGTGCTGTAAATCGAAAGCAATAGGAATGAAAGGACTAAAAGGGATGTTGCTTTCTTAGGGATGTGTCAGCTTCTATAGTGCATATAACAGGATTGACATGTTTCACCTGTGTGTCCCCTTTGCCTTTTTTAGATGAAATGATAAGGAAATCACTCTGTGGTACTAGATTTCTGAAAGCCTGGCTTTTAATAAAATTTAGAGCTTTAGGGGATGTATCTAATAGAAATTAGATTTTTATCAGAATACAGAGGTAATTGTCATACTTTATTCCCTACAGCACGAGCTGGAGAATATTGAACCTACTCAGGGCCTCTCAATAGAAGCCTCTGTGACATTTTTGCAGAGGCTGATCAGCCTTGTGGATGTGCTCATATTTGCCAGTTCTCTTGGCTTTACTGAAATAGAAGCTGAAAAAAATATGTCATCTGGAGGAATTTTGCGGCAGTGTCTCCGACTAGGTGAGCTGTTAAAACCCAGTAGTTAGGAATTTACTTGAAAAATTTTCAGTAATCCAGCTGTAGTAAATTGAATATTATCTCTCTCCTCTTGTTGGGCAAATGTGTGGTAGTCATTTTGTCACTTGCTACCTTTTTAACTTGTAGAGAGTGAAGGACTGTGTGTGTACTATGCTGTAGTAGTAGTTGGACAAGTTGGGTAGAAGACGGAAGGACATATTTTGAAAAATCTACTACATTAATTCTGGTCAACATTGCCCCTCCTTCCCTAATTATTTTTTGCTCTAATCTAGTATTTCTCAAATTAAAAAAAAAGGTTGCTTATACACATGAGTCATCAGAGAAGATCTTGTTAAAATGCAGATTAGATTACATAGGCCTGGAATGAGGCCTCAAATTGTCTTTCCCACAAGTCCCAGGTAATGTGCAAACTGCCATTATAAAGACAGTCACAGGGACGTGGGGTACAACACGGGGAATATAGTCAGCAGTATTGTAATGACTGTGCATGGTGTCAGACGGGCACTAGACTTACCGGGGTATTGCTTCAAAAGTTATCTCAGTGTCTAATCACTGTGGTGTACACCTGAAACTAACATTATTTGTCAACTGCAGTTGGAAAATACAAAGTTACTTAAAGAAAAAAAAAGGATAATCCATACATATGAATCACCAGGGAGGATCTTGTTAAAATGCAGATTAGCTTATATGGGTCTGGGATGTGGCTTAAACTTGTCTAAGAAGTCCAGGCAATGTTGATGTTGCTTCTCTTACCAATACACTTGAGTAGGAAGGTTGTAAACTGGCATCATGCAAACATAGCCTTTATCCAAATCGGCCATGGTAATTGGTTAAAGCAGGTAATTAAATTATTAAATCTCTGTTCTTCTCCTGGAGGCAGTCTCCCTTAGAGGAAAGGTGAAATGCAGGAAAAGAATTTTCAGTGTTAAGGGCTTCGTTAGGTGAACAAAAAGTTGTTTTTCTTCACGCAGGTTTCCCATATCCAGTTGTAAATACTGAGACTTGGTTCATGATTTGCTTATTAAATGGGGAGAAGCAGGTGGAGCGGGGGGAGCAGAAATGGAAGCAAAACCATTACATGTATGGCTTATGGAAGATAGATCAGAAACAAGGCATCTATGAAAACATAATGTTAGGAGTGACAAGTCTAATTAATGAAGTATTTTCCCATATTTAGTAAGAATGTGTTACGTAAACTGAGATACACTTGCACTTAGTCTGTTTTGGTACAATGATTAGTCATACTCAAAATGCTATTCAGAGTACTTTTCAACTTAGCATGTTCTGATGAACTTGGTGTAACAATTTTTAGGAAGCTTTAAAGTGTTAAGTGAGAGATTCAAATGGTGAGCACAAGAAAACAAGCTACCATTTAATGACTACTGTAGTTATTGCTGATTTTCACAGTGAGTCAGCATTCTTTTTTTTTTTTCTTGAGGAAAGTCAAGATCATAGAAAATAGGAAACTTACTGAAATTCAGAATGCCTATTGGTGAAGTTGGAATGTGAATATAGAAGTTCGTTTAGTGTTTCTACCCTTTCTCTGTTACAGTGTACTTCCTTAAATTTTTTATTGGTAGTACAATTAAAATATTTAGGCTCCCTTGCGTTTGTTATGCCAGTTAAAAAATCTTTACACTTTCCTAAATAGAGTACATTTCTAGACTTAAAAATACAAGGATACAGTAGCAGGGCTCTGCTATACTCAGGAAGCTTTAGGTTTGGAAGATAGGGAATATTGTATTGCCCTCATTTTCACAGCGGTAGGAAAAAATAAAGAGAAATTCGATTTCCCTCAGCACCATCTTTTCTTTTGTATGTGGCCATGAGACTCAGAAAGGAGCTTGTCCAAGATCACTCAGGAGAGTGTGGTGGTGAGCTTATGATCCCTGGTTGTCTTATTCCCGTTCTTCCCTGAGGTTGGGGGAAGAAGGGTCAGAGGGCAGCTCTGAAGGAACTTGCACTCCTGAGGCTGGCTGCACTAGGATGGGCAGCCTGTGTGGTTATAAACACCATGGTGCAGACCCAGACTTGATCTTGTGTCACCCGTGACAAAAGCGGCACTAAAGTCCCTTTCCTGGGCCTGGTTCCAAATTTGACAGTTGTATTCCATTATTCTTCCTCCTTTTCTCCCTCCCTCTCTCCTTTCCTTTTCTCCAACTTTTGGTGCTCAATTTTGGAATCTTTCTGAATTCCAGTCTTTCTCAATTTTGTGTCTGTAGACATAGTCGTGGTAGTACTTAAAGTGCCCACTTAAGTTTACTGTTGAGTTCCTAGTTTGCTCTCCCACTCTCGTTCTGATCAGATTCCTTGAGTGCTGCTGATCTGGTTGGAAATTGAGGTGATTACATGATGTCAACAACTAACAGTCAGTTGTGCATTACCTAATTCATCATTTAAAATTCAAAATGAATTTCTAAATAACTCAACCAGCTGCCCCGTTGGTGAGATAATAGAGAAGTGACTTTGGACTACATTGTAATTACAGTCTCTTTTATGTTTTTCACCCTTTGAGCAGTTGTAATGAGAGCCAGTCAAGTGTAGACCCTGTAAATATTCCCTATACATGCTATACTTTATTGCTGTATTAATATCATGCTGTAATAATACATTATAAGAAAAACACAAGTTTCCAGTTTAACTGTTTAATGAAGGTAATAATAGGTTATTGTCCTGGACTAGTTCATGCAATTAGATTTGCTTTTTTTTAAATCCTCACCCAAGGACATGTTTATTGATTTTAGAGAGAGAGGAAGGGATGGAGTGATAAAGTAAGAGAAATGTTGATTGGTTGCCTCCTATAGGTATCCTGACTGGGGACCCAACCCACAACCTAGGCAGGTGCTCTGACCAGGAATTGAACCTGTGGCCTTTTGGTTTATGGATGAGGCTTCAACTGACTGAGCCATACTGGCCAGGACCTTGCTTTCTGTTTCCTTGTGCATCTCTTTCAGTGCTCTTTCCCCCTGTCTGTTTCTTAATAAAAAAATCATTGCAAGTAGTTTAGGTGAGGTCTAAGAAACAGCAGCCTGTTAAGATTCTTGAATTGATTGCCCTCTTAGCAGTGGCCCCTAACAGAGTTGCTCCCAAAGTCAGAAAACAAACAGTAGGTGAGAAAGTCCAGGGGCATTTTAGGGCTTTGCTGAAGGTAATCTGTTTTAAATAACATCTTACGTAAATCGTATTGGATAGGTGATTTTTATCAGTTCCATAATCTTGAATACAATTTTCTTTTCTTACCCATGCTTTTTCTTAAAATAAATAACAGTGTGTGCAGTGGCAGTCCGGAATTGCTTAGAGTGTCAGCAGCACTCCCAAATGAAAATGAGAGGAGATGCAGCCAAAGGCCAGAAAACAGTGCACAGCCTGATTCCCACAGGCAAATCTGCGGCAAAGGTAAGCATGCAGAATCATTAATTAAGCAAAGAAGCGTGCTCTTATTTTATGATTAAGGTCTTAAATTTATTTGTTCATTTCACTGTAAAGTTAAATAAATCTGACAGAGGTCCTAAAATAGTTATTTTAGTCTGTGGGCATACCATTCAAATATTTGTATTTAAATATACAGTAAAGATTTGCTTATACTTAATCTTGTCTGCTTTTCCAAATGTTTACTTTCCTTGTGTCTACGATACCTTTTTCCTTCAAATATGTCAATTTGTATTTCGTGTACTTGGTGAGTTAGCATGAAGTTTGTTTTTTCCTGTATAGCTTCCTTCTGTACCCCCCACCTCTAACCCAGCATCCAAAAAAAAAAAAAAAAAGAGAGGGAGAAGTAGGAAAAACAAGTAGTTATATCCTTGTTTTTCTGGTTCCTGGAATACCATGTTTTGTTTTGTTTTTTTAAATCTGTGTAATGTATATACGTTTTTTGTCGTAGAGTCCAGTGGATATTGTAACCGGTGGCATATCTCCGGTGAGAGATTTTGACAGGCTCCTACAAGACATGGATATTAATCGGCTTAGGGCAGTTGTCTTCAGAGACATCGTAAGTTACCGTGTTTCTCTCACATAATCTTTTAACCAAAATGTATTTCCTTCCAGGCCCGAAGTATTGAGAATGAAAACTCTTTGTGATATGAAATACTTGAGTAGAGAGAAGGCCTAGAAACCAGTTTTTTGACAATGATTTTAGAATCATAGAATATTGGAAAGTTTCATCTATATAAATGGAGCTAATGTATCAGAGTAGTGATACTAAAAAGAAGAACATATTATTATAGTTGTGTGCTTTTGTAGTTTCCAGTTTATAAATGATGAATCTGAGGCACAGAGAGCTTGAATAGTTGGTTCAAGCAACTGGAGCTGGGAAACAGTAGGGTTCAGACCCGGCCGTCTGAGCTCTGAGTCCGTGCTCCGCAAGGGATGCAGTGCTCACAGTCTGAATGGCCTGCATTTTACTGAATATTGGTTTCTTTTTCCCCCTGAAAGGAATGTAAATTTGATGTAATGGTACATAATGAATTGCTGTGTGTGGTGGTTTTAATTTTTTAAAGATGAAAAAGTTTTATTTTAAGTGATTTTGATATATGGTCAAGTTTCATATGGAAATTATTCAATCATGAGAAAGTATAAATATGAAAATAAAAATCATTCGTGATCCTACTCACCAAGATTGAGTATAGTCATTACTTAATATTCATTGAACAGTTACTGTGTGTTAAGTACTAGATGCTCTATATTACGTGTTTTTTGTAAACTTTGTAACTTCAGTTTTTAATTTTCTCCTTTCTGGGGTTTTAGTCCTCTCTTGAGTTCTTCACTAAGTTTTATACATGGATATAATTTGTTAATGGTGTAGCTAGTAGTTGCTGAACACTTGTTTATTAAGCACAGAACTGGATGCTCTGTATGTATTATCTCACTTAATTTACCCAGTAATCCTATGAAGAAGATAACAGTATGAAGCTAAAAAATCTGTTTAAGATTACACAAGTAATAAAAGGTAGAAGTTAGTTAAGGATCTAGGGAATCTGATTCTTGAAATTTTGATCTTAACCATTTGATTATACTGCCTCCCTAGATTTCATTTTTTTTTCTTCTTTTTCTTTTTGGTAGCTGCTGTTATTCCTTTAATTAAGAAACCATCAAGGTTTGTTTCTTCAGAAACCACTGGCTGGTTCATTTTGGAACCAAATATTGCTGCTTCCTTCATTTCCCATTCTCTTAAGCAGGTGTTAAGTCTCTTGCCCCATAACTTTGTATTTCCTAGGGTAATATTTAAAAATTTAGACTAGATGATATAACTCTTTTGCTTTAAAAATTCTCGAATGTCTTCTTATAGGACTTAAAACCAAAACACCTCACTTGGGCACTGTGTGAATGGCTCTTTGGAACTTGCTGACAAGTATTATATCATGATATTTGGACAGAGAATTAGACTATTTCCTATCTATGTTGTTACTTCTTAAAGTTATAAATATTTAAAAATTTTTTGTAATTATAAAAGATATATAATCACCCTGTAGGAGTTTTAGCAAAGAGAAAAGGTCTTAGTCCCCAAACCTTATCTCAGAGCCTTTTCTAGCAAAAGCAAACTTTGATGATGAAGAAAGAAATGACCTAAGATTGAGGATATAAAGAAATTATTGCCCTGAGGTTAGGAGCTTAGGTATTTAATCACTCTAATCTGAGTTTACGTATGCTTTTCCACTTGCTGTATAGCTTAAGAAAATTATTTCTTTAGTCCTTATTTTGTTCAAATGGGTTAAGGAATATATATGAAATACGTAGCACAGTGCCTGGCTCCCAGTCAATATTCAATAAACGACAGCTACAGTTTATTTCAGGGGTTTAGTTCGTAAACAAACATTGGGTATATTACGTGGGTAAATAAGGATTTAGGTAGGCATAAATAATTTATAACAGATTAAGAAGTCAAGACCAAGTAAGTTATTTGTCTGCATTGTTAACACTGACATCATTAGCAGTAGTTGTGATAGACGACAGGATGGCGTGGCAGAGGACCACAGGCCTGTCTAGAGAAAAGGGATGGTTGATAATAGAGGGGACACCACATTTATCTTTTTGATCGAGATTAATAAATTCTTACACAAGAACTTCAGAAGTGCCATAGCTTCTTGTCAGATTACAAATACGTCTTACTGTGTCAGGTGGATGTGTTCAGGTAGAGCCTGATACCTTATTTTTTCCTTGAAACTGATTGTATCCAAACTTTGATGCTAGTTATTAATTTTTAGTTTCATTTGTACCATTTGTTTCCATTTGTTTATCTGCTGAGCATCAGTATTTGTTTCCTTTACCTTAACATTCCCTTCTATTCAAAATACTGTTAATTTTCAGGATTTGGTGGACAAGTTTGAGTTTTTCTTTTAAATTAATTTTTTGAAAAGTTATGAAATAGTGATGTGTTGAGGGGCCCTTCGGAGATGGGGAGTTTGACTGGGGAGAGAGGTCGTTGACGTACAGATGCGTAGGTGACTCGAGTCTTTAGGATGAAGGCTGGAACTCTTTCTGAGGTTAAGTTTTTCCTTTTTTGTGTACACTGTATTTTCAGTCTGATACGTGGTCCTTTCTGCTAGTTAACATACTCCTGATTCCTTTGGCATCCTGTTCTATGTTTGACAACCTTATTTTTTTTCTCTTGAATGTTTGTCTTTTAGGAAAACTATTATTTTTTATTATTTTATGCATTTTAATTTTTATGATTAGAAGTAAAAATACTTATTCATATATAATGAAAATCACTTTTTGATTACTCTTATAAAGTATATTAAGACATATGTCTTCAGGGTGATTTACTTTTTAAAAAAGGCACTTTTCTCTTTGCAGCTTCCACAAGCAAAAACCTCTTATTTATGGGCATTTTCCCAAAATACTTTGATTTTTGTTCAGTTGAATTTATTATTTTCTGCACATATCAAAAAATTTATTCACATGTTTGATACTTAAATATTGTCATATAAAATAAATATTGTCATATAAAATAAAATTGACATGTTATTTAGTAGTGGTATGATCAAATACTTTTATTTTTCCCCAGGAGGATAGCAAACAAGCTCAGTTTTTAGCCTTGGCTGTAGTATACTTTATCTCTGTTCTTATGGTCTCGAAGTACAGAGACATTTTGGAACCTCAGAATGAAAGGCGTAGCCAGCCATTTAAGGAATCTGGTAGTGAGAGTGGGACCTTATCACTTCCTGGTAAGTTTCTGTATTTCATTTCCTGGTATCCAAAATTCAAGTGAAATGTTACCTACCTATAGTGGTTAAAATATTGATTCTGGAATTGAAATCCATTTATACAGAAAGAGAGAGCATACACTTATTTTTGTTAATGACTAAATAGTTTACTTTAGGGACCATGTAGTTAGTTGCAACTGGGAGATTACTTCTGTTCTTTAAATGAGCTATTTGACTAGAAGGTGGGAAGATGTTACCTGCAATTCAAGTAATAATTGGAGTTATGGAAGTAGTTGCCAGTTACAATACATAGTTAGAAAAGCAACTATTGAATGTAGTAGCTGCCACCCAATGGAGGCTATTTATTTATTTAATAAATATTCATTTGGTACCTATTGGGTACTTGGTGTATTCATGACCAAAAGAAAAAAAATCTGTCTTAATAGAGCTTATATCCTTGTGAGATGAGATCGAGAATAAGTACATGTAATAAATACATTGTGTAGTACTTTAAAAGGTGGTTGGATTAAGACAAGTCAAACAGAAAAATACCAGGAGAAATGGGAGTGGATGTTTACTCTACGGGAAATGGGGAATTACTGCAGGGTTTTGAGTGTAGGAGTTACAAATGACTTCTTTTTCCATGTTTTTATAAGTTACACTCAGGGTTCTGTGTTCAGAATACACCCTGGAGGGTAAGGAAGGCCCCGTGTTTTCGTTACGCCCCGCTGTGTAACACATCACACTGAAGCTTAGTGGCTGGAACCTCCACGCTTTCAGGCTTGTTCTCACGATGCTGTGGATTTCGTTTGGACAGGATACGGTTGGGAGGATTCATCCCTGCCCCAGACGACACTTGCTGGTGTTGGGAAGTCTGAGATGGTTTTTCTATGAACGTCTTTAGTGCCTCAGCTGGGATGGCTCCTCGAGCTGCGGCTGATTGACTGAAATGGCTCGGCTTGGGGATTTGTCTGGGGTCTTGATACTTGTTCTCAGCTGAAGTCCTTGGTTTCCTCCACTGGTTTGGAGGGCCTCTGTCTCTTCATGTGGTTTCTCTACATGTCCTCTCCAGCAAGGTAGTCATACTGCTCCCTGAGATACTCAGGAATTCCTAGAATGTACCTGCTGCCAGACCTTATTAAAACCTGGGCCCAGAATGGTTGGTTGTTGCTTCTGCTTCATTCTGTTGGTTAAAGTGAGTCAGGCCCAGTCCAGATTCAAGGACTTCTCAAGGGGGTAAATACCAGGAGGCGGGGGCCAAGAGGATCATTAACCTAACAGTCTACCATGTGCACTTAGGAGGATACTGCAGTGATCTAGGCAGGAGGTGACTGAGGCCATAGAGCTAGTGAGCAGTGGTCAGACTCTGGATCCATTTTGATGGGAGAGAAAACAGGATGTTAATACATTAGGTGTGGAAAACATGATGTTAAAATATTGGGTGTGGGAAACAGGATGTTAAAATACTAGGTGTGAACATGTGAAAGACGGGAGGCAGTGAAGAATGATTATGAGGCGCAGTTGGGTAGATTGGAGGTGGAGCGTGTTCAGGCAAAGATAAATTCACTTTTCCACTGTTGATGGCTTCAGACATAGAAAATGCAGAGTAGGCAGTTATAGATAACAGTCTGAATGTTTTGTTTTCTTTGTTTTTTGACATTTAAAGCTTTGAGAGTGCATGAGTCCATTACAGGAGTTCACTGTTGCGAGAAGAGAGGACTAAGGACTGAGTACTACTAAGTTCCCCCAACTTAAGAAATTAGAAAAAGAAGTGAGGGAAATTAAGGAGGAATGACCAGTGAGGAAGCAGATGAAAAACTGGAAGGCAGACGATTACACATGGTGTGTGTAAGTCAAGTGAAGAAAGTACTGCCGTGTTGGAGGGAGTAATCAGTTGCTGCTGCTTTGCCAAGTGCTCTTAGCACTGAGAACTGACCACTGGATTTAGCCAGATGGAGGTGTTTGGTGACCATTGGCAAAATGGAGCATTTTTGTTGGAATAGAGGGAATGCCCGAATGGAGGGAATGAAGATAAAACAGGGAAGCAGGGTGATGCTCTTTCTTGAACTAGATTTTAAGGATCGTTTGGTTGTTCATACATACAGGAGGAGTAACCCGTTTTCTAGTAGTGTTGCAGAAACCATGTTTGAGGATGAGGTCTGGGGGTTACTATTCAAAGACATGGCAATGTATAAAGGCATAGAAGCCAAAAGCTTTGTCCCCTGTTGAGCAAATTGCAGGTAATTTGGTGATTAGGACTGAATGTAGCTTTTTAAAATTGACTCTAAATTGAAAGCATGATGTGTGATGGCATGAGTAGCAGGAGATAACTTTGGAAATGACTAGTCATCTGAATCATGTTTATTGAGCACCTGCTGCTTTCCAGGCATGGCATGAGGCCAGGCATTATGACGGGTGCTGGGGAGGAAGTGATAGGGAAGACAAGTTCCCTGCCCTGGTGGTGTTTACTTTCTAGTGGACCCACATCATTGAAGAGCCTTGTACTTTATCCTAGGGATTTTGGACTTTTTCTTGTAGCCCACTGGTTTTCAACCTTGTGTTGCTCTCCACTGGTATGTCGTGTTCAGTTTGGAGGGTTTTCTCTGGTATTTTGTTGTTATTATTTATTGTTTTTTATTTTATGGTATCATCTAATTTGATTATAGGTGCATTAACTCAGTACATTTTATAGATTATGTAATTTATTTTTGCCTTTGAGAAGATGCCACAGATTTCATAATTTGAAATAATAGATGGCTGTAGGACTGAATGTACCTTTTTAAAATTGGCTCTAAATATTTTTTATTTGTACTTTTTTTTTCTGTTTCTGGGTAAGATGTAGAAAACACAACAGCAGCATCCAGCCCATTAACTCCAGCGTCAGTGGAAGAATCGGACAGCACATCATCTGTTCGAAGGAGGGACTCCGGCATCGGGGAGGAAACAGCTGCTGGCGTGGGAAGCAGTGTGGACCTGGCGTCTCCTGCGGCGCCTCTGAGTGTCAGTGCAGGCCCAGATGCAATCAGTGAGGTGCTGTGCACTCTCTCTTTGGAAGTCAATAAATCTCAGGAAAACAAAAATGATGGAGGAAACGAGTTGGATAACAAGGCCGCACCATCAGTTCCAGTTTCAAAAAATGTCAACGTAAAGGACATTCTCCGCAGCCTGGTTAACATGCCAGCAGATGGAGTCACAGTGGACCCTGCCCTCCTGCCACCACCCTGCCTCGGAGCGCTTGGCGATCTGTCCGCTGAGCAGCCTGTGCAGTTCCGGTCTTTTGACAGGTACTGTAAACAGTTTTTGGTTTTTGTATGCATGTATTTACAAATTGTCAAGATCTAAAGGGTAAACAGGACTTGGACTCTGCAAAGTTTATAGCTTCAACACTAGAAATGGATGTTTGTAAAAATTACAAGGATATTTTTGTTTTATAGTTTGTTTACCATTTCAGATTTTCATTTAGCAACACTATCATAAGATAATTTAGAAATAATTTTAAAATTACATTGGCAGGTTGTATGTTAAATATATTTTGTTTGTTTGTTGCAACTTAGAAGTCACCTGTACTTAAAGATGGCTGTCTTTCACACTCTTGCTGTTAGCACTGTGCCAGCCTCTGAGGACAGTGTGTCTGTCTGTGGATCCCAGCGGGCCTGCATCCAGCCAGCTCCCCAGAGTCCTGATAGCTGGAGAAAGCTGACTATGGGCTTCCGACTTCATTGGTTCTGCTGGCCTCATGGAACCTTTGGCTAATTTGCCTGACATTTTTCTTTATATATTAATAAATTTTCTGAAATTCTGCCTATAAGACATATATATGTATTAGTTATTAAACACATTTTTTTTCAAAAATCAATATTTTTATCTGGAAAGAAGCTCTAACTTAAACGGAGGTTGCCAGTTAAAAGAACTTTTATTTTTCTTGAGTCATTTTGAAAATAAGTGTGTATAATACTACATCCTCTTTGAGTATTTTATTGTATATTTTCAATATAACCACAATACATTCATCAAAATAAGAAAATTAACTGATAAAACACCACCTTCTAATCTTCAAATACATTTCAAAGTTTACTAATTATCTCAGTAATGCCCTTTATAGTAGAGGGATCCAGCTCAGAATAATGTGTTGTATTTCGTTGTGTTTCTTTGTTTTCCTTTGGTCTGGAAGAACAGTTCCTTAGTCTTGCCTTGAATTTAATGATCTTGCTGTCTTGGAAGATGACAGCACTGATGTTTTGTAGACTGTTCCTCAGTCTATAGTTTAGATTTGTGTAATGTTTCCTCAGGATTAGATTCAAGTTAATGCATCTTTTTGGCAGGAATATCACAAAAGTGGCACTATGTGTTGCGTTCTATCATGTGGCATGTGGTTTTGTCTCATTACTGATGATATTCATTCTGAATTGTCATTAAAATGATGTTCTGTAGGTTTCTGCACCCTTAAGGTACTCCTTGTGAAGGGGCGGTACTGCTGTGAAACTCTTTCATCCACATCAAATACATTCAGTTCACTGTGTGGCCCTGTGGTTTCCGATTTTATTCAGTGGGTTATAATTTGTTGTTGATATTTTTATGTTGATGCTCAAGTTGTCTTCGATTTGTCCAGTGGGATTCCCTTCCAGTGAGTGGGCTTCTATTTTCTTTTCATATGTTCTGATCATAACGTCCCTCTGTCTGGGTGTTTATTTCTTTGGGTCTCCTGTTCTCGTTATTCCTCCTCGTATTCTGGTTTTCTATGTCAGATTTGCTGGGTGTTGCCCATGGGATATCCAAATGGGTTGAAAGTCTTTATGGTAATTATGATGTTCTGAAAGAACACAAAGGAACTAAAATTTTAGCAGAGAATGTTTGCCGTCACCTTTGTCATTTTATCGCCTCTGCCACCACCATTGACGGTGTTAGGTCAATGTCCTGGAGCGATGAGACTGAGAGAGTCTAATGTCCAGAGACATAGAACATCGGTATGTCACGTGGCTGCTAGATTTCAGTGTATTTTTCATTTTTGTAAAAGTAGGCTTTATAATGCAGGAATTAAAATGCTGACTGTAGTAATTAGACAAAACTCAGTTTGCGTTCTGGCTGTATTGCTTACTAGTGAATTTGGACCTGTTACCGCATCCTGCCGAGCCTCAGTTTCCTTATCCCTAAATAGTATAATACTGTATACCTATTAATGAGGAAAAAAGGCAGAACAAAGGCAGAACGTGTTGGTATGAAGTGATATTGAAGATAGACTGTTCTGTAGCACTCAGCACGTAGAAATCACTCAGTAAATAAAAACTGAGCTGTCCTGTCTGATGAGCCATTCAGTCACTGCTGCTTCCTGTCATGTGCATGTGTCTGCCTGTGGGCACTAGGTACCTGAGATACATGTTACAGATAAAAGGGCTGCACTCTTACTGTGCACATATAATGCAAACCGGTCAGTACAATGATAAATCATATGTCAATAAAATGACTTACCTGCTAGAAAAATTGACAAATGACAGGAACAGGTAGTTCATGCAAGAAAAATACTGTTAATATGCAAATATGTACAGGTGATCTATATTGCTAATAATGAAGGAAATATTAAAATAACCAGGTGATAACAGGTGATAAATCTTTGCAGAGGTTTAAAATGAGATGCATCTTTACAGAGATGATACCTAGAGTTAATGGGGGTATAAAGAAACATTTTAATATTGTTGAAAGGGCATATTGATATAACTTATTTGAGAGACAAGTGGCAGTTAATTAAAATAAAATATGTAAACTTAACACACCTCTAGAAGTTCATACAAAAGGTATACAAATGTTTTCTGCAAGTGGAATTTCATAATTAAGCTAAGACCTATTGAGCTTTTACTCTGTGAAGTTCTATTCAAAATGCATTTTTTAGTTAGGTAGATAGATAGATACTGTTTTTATCTGCATTTTACAGATGAAGAAATTGGGGCAAGAGGACATTAAGTCACTTCAGCACTCGTGCTGATCAGTGGTGGAGCTAAGACTTGAACCAGGGTGGACTCACTCTGGACCCTGTCATTGGGCTGTGCAGCACAAGCATTCTTGCTAATCTATGAGGAATCGATTGGCAACACGTTTTATTGGCTGTACATATAGTAAATAGTATGCAGCCACTGCAGAGAGAAAAGAACGCTGTGCATTGATGTAAAATGATATTGCAGATACATTGTTAATGAAAAAAGCAGTGTACAAAATAGTTTGGAATTTATGATCTTTTAAGAAACATAAATATGTTCATATATATCTCAAAAAGTATACATCAAACTGTTAATAACAATGGCTATATATGAGAGTTGGAAAAAGTGTAAATGATCAGATTTTTAAAATACTCTCAATTTTTATAATTTGTTTAAATTTGTATTAATGTTTGCTTGAGCACTCAGACATGATTGAGAGTAGATTTTAAAATTTATCTTGCTAATATAGTCAAAGAAAGTTGTTTTCTTGTAAATTTCCCAAATTTCATATATTTTGGCATTTCTATCTTTTTTTAAATAGTGTAGAAATTCAACTCTGCCTTAGTGATGCCTTCTGTGCCGAGGCTATGCACTTATTTAGGAAACCATGCCTAGGTAATGCATGTTAAGGAGTTGAAAACAAAGGAAAGAAGGACTCATGGATGTGGGCAGCAGTGTGGTGATTTCGGGGAAGGGAGTTATAAGGGGGTTAAATGGTAATGGAAAAATGCAAAAAAAAAAAAAAGAAAACTAAGGGGAATTTTGGTGATGGCATTTTTCAGGATGTTATTTGGAACACACATGTCTGGTATGCATTTAACGTATTGTCTGATGGCAAGCCAGCTGCTCTATGTTTCCCTCTTCTTTTTCTTAGCAAGAGACACCTTTTGAAAACTCTTTTCATGCAGCTGTAGACCAGTGGAGTATCTTTGGGAATTTCAAAGCATCCCTCTGATCATGTATTTATCTCTGGAATGCTTTGTCAGAAATCACAACTCTCCTCATATCTTAAGATTTATCAACTCTCAAGCAATAGCTGGAAAATTTAGAGTAACAGCTACATGAGTGGAACCTTGCTGAAAGGCTGCCAGGTTGTGGGCCTTTTTGGATGGCAAGGTGTTTGTGTTCATTCCCATGCCAAAATTCTTGCTCTTATCTAATTTGAAGATCCTCTCTGGTGATTAGTGGATACCAGGGATTTATCTTGATAAAGTTCAAGGGCTTGTCTGGCTTTTCAACTAGATCCTTAGGGACTAAAGTGCTAGGTTTAAAATGCTCTTTTCTCTTTTACTGAACTATTTGCATGTTAAATAAAATAGCATTTATGTGAAAGTCTGTGATATTTGAAACTGATGTGATTCTGAAATGGAACTTCTGAACCTTAGTGATCTGGAAGATGTTGTTGCTCTTTGTCTGCTGTTAATAAGTATAAAGAAACTTTCAAGAAAAGTCTCCCTAGTTCATGTGAAAAAGAAGTCAACAGTGTTTATGCTTTCTTTCTATGTGGAATCTTAGGAAAATTACTTCTTTTTCATCATTAAAATGGGGATAATATGTGGCCCTTAAATCATGGGTGGTTGAATATATATGATAATCTATGTATGTGCTTAGCATAGTACCTCACAAATATTAGAGAGTTTGTAAAGAAAAAAAGTATCATAAGTAACATTTTATACTTTAACATGCAGTTTTGAATTGACAGTTTTGGAACACTAGCTTGCATAACTAAAAAACATATTTGTCTTCCAAATTCTCTATTCCAAAGAGTTTGAAGTGCTTTTTGTTAAAGTTGGTGGCACATATTAAAAATTCAGTTATTTGCATTTTAAATTTTAACAAGGTTTTCAATTTGCTTCTTAAATGGAAACTTAAGATGTAGCTTGAGAATGATACTAGAAATGTTTCTGCACATCACCTACCCAGCATATAAGCTCTCAAAGTTGTATCAAATGTATGCTTTATTTTATTTGTGTTTTCCAAAGTGTTTGATAAAAAATATGAAATGTTTAGTCCTTACATGATTAATCTTGAGTAGTGGTAAATTTAAATTTCTAGATTGTTTTTTAAACAATAAGAACTTGGTTTACTAGTTTAGATTTATACTGATGTACATGATACATATGACAGCTTAAAATCCCCTCTGTTGCAGATTTTAGTCTCTTAAACACGGAAAATTTATAATATTGAAAATAGTTGGTAAAGGGAATGAAAATATTGTGAAATCTGCCTACGGCTTAATTTCCTTTTATTTGGATTATTATGACTTTGCTTCTTTTGTTTTTACATGGCTCAAAGCAGAAGCATTATGTTATTTCCTCAGAAATTACTTGAATCAGTCAATTAATTTGGAAGTTGATTAACTTTATTTTTCTATATATTACTAAATAAATATTTCCTTATTTTACTAAATATATAGCTGTGCTGACACATGCAACTTTTTCCATTTGTGAGCAGGTATATTTTTGTCTGTTGTAGTATATACATAATTTTACATTTTGGAAGACTATGTTACTGTTGCTTATCATGGATTATTATATAGAATATGTTTCAGTGTGAGTGTGATTGTGGTGATGGTTGTGTGGCTCTGTGAACATACTAAAAACTGAACACTTACAATTAGTGAATTATGTGGTATGTGAATCGCATCTCAGTACAGCTTTAAAAAAGGTCAACATGAGGAAGCAGTTTAAATTAGAGGCCCTTGTCGAGACGAACCGTGAATTATATGTAGAGCAGTTCTGCCATTTACTTTTGTAAGTTAATTTCCATTTCTGAGGTTTTCTTTTTAATTTTTAAAATGGAAGTCATGTATGTTAGACTTGTTTTGAGAATTGAGTAATAAATAATTCTTAACATGTCAGTGCTTCATCATAGCTATTAATAATTTGTAAGTTTATATCATAGGATGGTTTGGGGGCACAAAGAATAGTGGGTCGTGAACTTTGACTTGGAGAGTCTGGGGAGGCTTACCTTTGAGTGAGGTTTGGAAAGGAGAGAAGGAAGTTCGCTGGCGTGAAGGACTAAGAAGAAGGCATCTCAGCAGAGGAAAAGCATGTACAAGGGGTGGGAGTTGGAATATAGTATACATGCTTAGGAACCATAATCGCGTACAGCAGAAGCATGTGAGGAATGCTGGGTTAAATGTAGGAAGCCACACTTGAGATATGTCAGGAATGAAAATATGTGGGAAATCTTGGACAATCAGTATTTAGTGAACTGAAATAAAGAATTGGTATTGTTCCTGATGGAAAACATCATTAGTTTCAGTAGTTTAAAGGATTGGAGATGAAGTCAGATTCTTTTGTTGTCTTAATTTATTTTAATTTATTGAATCCTGGCTTTATTTTTTAAAAAGATTTTATTGAATTTATTGGGGTGATCTTTTGTTACCTTTAATCATGCCACCTTGGATAAGTAGAGATTATGTGCATTATGGAACATCTGTAGTAATTTTTTTTCTGTCACCAGTTTTCCAACATTTCATTATAAAAATGTTCAAATATCTAGAGAAGTTGAAAGAATTGTACAGTGAACACCTATAGACCCATCCCTTAGATTCCCCAATTAGCCTTTAACTGTTTCCTTTATCATATAATTCTCTATATAAATATCCTTCTATCCATCAGTCAGCCTTATTTTTTGATGCATTTCAAAGTCAGTGTCAGCCAAGAGTTCACCCTCAATCTAACATCTCAGCATGCAGATCTCTAACGAAAGATCAATACAGTTTAAGGTAAAATGCACATACAATGAAAGGCACCAATCTTAAGTGCACCATTGGACGAGCTTTGACAATCTGTACCCCTGTGTTAACCCAAACCCTCAATCAAGATGAATCTTAAAAGTCCCCTCATGCGTCTTTCCAGCCAATCCCTATCCTTGTTCTTCAGAAGCAATTATTATTCCATTGTTTTTTCTACTGTAGATTAGTTTTGCCTTTTCTAAAACTTCATGTAAAAGGAAGTACAAAGTTTGCATTATGTAGTTTAAGGTTTCCTTCACTTAACCTAATGCTCTCGAGGTTCGTCCATGCCATGTTTATCAGTAGTTTGTTTCTTTTCATTGCTGAGCATTGTTCCATTGTACAAGCATACTACCATATTTTTTAAAAAATTGTTGATTTTAGAGGAAGGGGGTGGAGAGAGACAGACAGACACAGACATCAATTTGTTGTTCCACTTATTTATGCATTCATTTTTTTGATATTTGTATGCGCCCTGCTGGGGGATTGAACCCACAACCATGGCACATTGGGACAATGCTCCAACCACCTGAGCTACAAGAGCAGGGCCCATCTCACCATACTTTTATGCATCTTTCTGCTTAAAGGATTCTAGACTAGTGCCGGTTTTTGGCTGTTAACAATAGAGCCTCTTTGAACATTTTTGAGCACCCTTTTTTTTGTGGACATAAGCTATACTGAGGAAACTGCTAAGAGAAGAATTGCTAGTGAATAGGGCAGGTTTATGTCTTAAATGTAATTATAAAAAAATTTCACTTTTTAAAATACTATGAGTACCAGTACTTATCTATTGTATGAGTAAAATAGATATTGCTTGTTCTTTGTTTTGTGAACAAATGTGAAAGTAAATTGTCCATATTTCTCCTCTCTTTCTCTCCCCAAAATAGGTTGCTAGGGAATAGGTAGCTAGAGATTTTCTTGAACAATGCCTGTCTGCCTAGAGTAGCAAACACACAAATTAGATTTTGTATTGTTTTCTGACTGTACCATCAGCACACATGTACGCACACACACACAGGGGTCATGTTTACTCCCCCTAAAGTCAATAATCTTCATCTGATATAAGCTACCGTGATTTAAGTGCACCATTTTGGATTGAGGGCTCAGGTGGCTGTTGCTTCTATTTTTTAGTGTATAGTTAACATTGGCAGTCACCCTTATAATGATGTGACACCAGCTACCCCCTAGTACATTGAATAAGCCATGCCTAACACAAGAGAACTTGATTTAATTGGCAACAGTGTTTGCTGTCACATGGTAGGCACTGAAGTAAAACGGAACCTATTTCGCTTTGTATTATCTCTTTTTGATATAACGACAAAAACAAAATGTATTTTTAAAGTACTGGAATTAGGTAATTTCCACTTTTGAATTTATGAGGATCAAGAACCTAAGTAACTTTATTTAGAAACTGAATACTTTAAAGGTGTTAAGGGAATACTTGAAGCTTGCAGTTACAGTATTGTCAACAGAAGATGTGATTAAATAAATTGAATGTTGAAGACTTTGGGCTTATGGTTAACACCAGGTAATTAAAAGTAAGCGCTGCTGTGGGAGTGCATTATATATCAGCTGTCCTCTTTACCTCATTAACTGCATTCTTGCATGTTTATGGAGCTAACTTCAATTAAAAATGCCTTTAAAGTTGTGCCTAATAAGGTCTTTTAGTTATTATTTTGGTATAGAGTATTACACTTTAATTGAAATCTGTATATCATAAATACCTGGGTTGGAATAATATACAAGGTGAAAAAATTTGATTTGATATTTTTGCATCTAGCATTTATATCTGTGCATTGTTTTATATATAGTAGTATTTAAACACAGTCTTGGGGATTTAAAAAATTGGGTTGTTAAAAATAGTTTATATCTGCCTTTTTTAACCTTATAAAATTCCTAAGGTTTTTATGATCTTAAATTAGCAGTGCTTTAAAATCCTTTAAAAACTCAATGAAACACATTGAGTTTTCTGCTTCAATTCTGAGGTTAAGAAAAAATTAATTACTTTTCCACTGAGTGCCAAAATTCCTTTTTTAAATATACCTTTGGTTATATTTTAAGTTAGTTAAAGATGATCCTAAATGTAAAGAATATTATATAGTAAATCTAAGTTTAAATGTTAAATTATCATATTTCCATAGAACATTGTCTTGATTCTAAAATAATTGAGAGGCAATAAATATGAACACCTTTGCAGTTTCTTGAGAGAAGATTCTTAATTGTATATCAAAATAGAGAAGAAAAAAATAGAAAAAGAGTTTAGGTTCCTGTTTTCTATTTTTAAATTTATGTGATTAACTTGAGTTAACCTTTTGTATTTTAAAATGGCTGTTTTCTGTTTTACTACAGAAGTGTCATCATTGCAACAAAAAAATCATCAGTCTTACCTCCCTCGCTCACTGCACACTCGCCTGCCGATGCTGTCAGTGTGGTTTCTCCCGCAGAGTCAGCCCGAGCCCCAGATACGGGAGGGGAATCTCCTGGTGAGTTTGTTACCAGTGATTTCAGCAGAAAAGGTTTTCAGTCCTATCTTAGCAGAGCTTAGGATTTTTTATAAAGTTAAGAAATTTTTTTAGGCATGTTATAACTCATTATGCTTTTATAACTCATTATGCTTTTATGAGGTCTGTCTGGAAAAATCCAGCCATGGTTAATGTGAGGAGAGCAGTTTATGCAACAACACCAACGTAACCTGGCAGCCAAGGATGGTGGACTGGAATGTGCATGTGTGAACAATGACGGCTTCACTGTTCTAGTCAGTGGGGGTGGTAGACACTGTTGAGGGAGCATGTGTACTGTGTGGCTGTCACATTCAAAATGACTGAGTGAGCAGAGCAATGAATCTGCATCGAGTTTTGCATTGAGCTTGAACATTCCTTCATGGGAACTATTCAGATGATTCGGAAGGCCGCAGCTATGGGCAGCTGTGACTGGCAGCTTCATCACGACAACATGCCAGCTCATGCAGCACGTCTTGTGCAGAGTTTTTTGGCAAAACATCAAATCACCCAGGTGACTCACCCCCACTTATAGCCCAGATAGGACACCCTGAGACTTCTGGCTTTTTCCAAAACTAAAATCATCTTTGAAAGGGAAGAGATTTCAGACTGTCAGACTGTGAGATTCAGGAAAATACGATGGGGCAACTGATGACGATTAGAACTGTGCGAGGTCTCAAGGTGCCTACTTTGAAAGGGACTGTGGTGTCATTGACCTGTGTACAGTGTTTCTTGTATCTTCTTCAATAAGTGTCTCCGTTTTTCATATTACATGGCTGGATAGCTTCTGGACAGACCTCATATAACTGTTGGTTCCTTAGTAATTTTCTGAATAATTTAATATCAAACGAATTAAATGAAGGATTTTAATATTTTTTCCACACTGTATGACGGATTGGATGCTGGTGGTTTGAAATATTCTTTTCCTTCCCCTGCTCTTGAGATTTGTGTAGATAGTAGTTTGTGTAAGAAAGTTTTCGTGACATGTGGTCTTTTAATCTGGTTATGTATTATCAACTGTTTATGTAGTATCTAGTATTTTTTCTCTTGAATATTTTTCTGAATTAAAGACTTGAAATGCTGCCCTGAAGTATACCATCATTTTAGCATTAGCCATTAATAACACTTACTGTAATTTTTTAAAATATTGAAGTTATTGGGTTGATATTGGCTAATAAGATTACGTATGTTTTAAGTGTGCAATTCTATGATACATCATCTGTATATTGCATTGTGTGTCCACCAGCCAAATTGTATTTTTGCCCATCTCTCTCTCCTCCTTCCAAGTGCGAAAGCCTTTGGGTGCATGTATATGGGTGTAAGATCAAATTCTTCGGTGTTGACTGGAAGCTTAGTGTTAATACCAGATAAACTTGAAAACTATGTGTGATACTAAAGTGAGTAAGTTAGGGCAAAGGGGATATTATTTTGTATAAATAGTATTTTTCTAAATGTGCTATTTCATAAAAAAAATTAACAACTAGATTGCATATACTCAAAAGGATTCATTCTTGTTGCTCTAGAATGAGATTAATGAAACATAAATTTTGAAGGAGTGACTAGGTGGATTACATTAAATCAGAAATAATGTTATTAGTTCATTTTTTCAGACATGTCAGGCCTCTATTAGGCCTATCAGCTGCTCTACCTTTTTTAATAAAATAGTATATTTGATAAATAGAGTATTTGTTAGTGTGTTTGATAAAATAGCGTACTTCAGAGTTTTGCTCCTACCTTGAATGGAAAGTACAGAGTTCCCATGTAACTTGTGAGCGGCACCCGCTTCCCATTGTCCTATTGTGAACATCTTGCAGTAGTGCGGTACGTTGGTTACTTTTCTTCATCGTTGTCTTAGTGAAAAAATATAAAAGAAGATGATTTTCCTTCTTTATTGTTCCATTATACTGTGATTCTTCTTTTTTACTTTGAAGGGGAAACAATTTGGTAGTCTGTTTTGGGCTGATCTTTCACCCCCATCCAAAGCCCTTTAAAAAAATGAACTGTGATTTCTCTGGACCAGTCCCCATTGGGAAACAAGGCAGAAGTTACTAATATCTATGAAACTGTGCTGTCTTTTAAATTTAGTAATAGTGAATTCCTTAAGTTCAGAGGTTCACAGTAGGCTGAATAAAATGTTATCATATTTTGAATACATTGCCCTTGAATTTCAATTTATGGGACAAAGGAATACGATTCTCTGATTGCTTTTAAATGTATTTTTCAAAATTTAAATCATGTACTTTTCAGAAGAGATCAGAAACAGAAAGCTGAGATATATGGACAATATTTGATGACAACAGCATAATAAATTTCTGTCTGAAGCCATTGTATTTTTCCCAACAAATCCCTTATAACCCAGGGTGAGGCAAAAGTAATTTTATAGTTATTTGCATGGAAAATAATATAATAAGTAATATAAGAATAAACTCTGTTTTGTGTTCTCACAACTGTGAGCCTACATTTATTCTACCCTGTGTTACTCACCCAGAAGAATCATATACCGAATTGGAAACTCTTACTTTTATTAGCAAAATCCCACAAAATCTTGAATCTAGTTCATGTTCCCCACCTCCCGTCATTATTAAAATTTTATATAATTTGTGGTAGTGATGTTTCTCCAATAGTTTCATGGTTTTTCTGTTTTGGGCTAGGAGTTTTTAGCTCTTTCCTCTTCCTCCTATCTCCCCTTATTTGTTTTAAAATATTTCATTTATTTTTAAGTCATTACAAATGTTCTTCAGTGGTCTTTCTTTTTATCATTTGTTCGGTTTCCATACCCGATTCTTCCTTTTCTCTCCCTCATCAGTATGCTCCCGTTGTCCCTGTTCCATGGCTTTTCCACTTTAGTTTATTACTTCTGTTCATTCCACTCATTGCTGCCATGAGCCGTGATGCCTTGATAAGAGGAATTTACCCCAGTTTGGTGTTTTCGGTCGTCCTACTCCTTACTCTCCCGTGCCCCGCTGTGCATGCTTTTGCCTGCCATCCTTGCTTTTGTACCCTGTTCTCTTCTCACCTGGAATCGAAACCCCACCAATAAGATTATCTGTCTGACTTTAGTATTTTTCGCTGATAGATTTTTGTTTTCTTTTTGGTGGGTCTCTTGATTTAAGTTACTTGCCATTAAAAAACTAGACTTATATTGAAATTTATTTTTCTTCCGGTTCAGGCAGGATTTGGGAATAAAAGATTTGTGGATGAATTGGTGATTGTTGTAATTGCATGCTGAGCTGGGCAGTTTGTTCTCACAGATCAGGGTAAGTTAGGTATTAGTCTTGGTTTGATCTTGGACTGTTTTCTCTGTATGAAAGCTCAGTTAATATCTGTCCCCGTGGGCCTTAAACCTATGTGCCTCGGAAAGACTGCAGTTTGAGTGATTAGCAACAAAAAAACGAACTGCTCAAATTCAGTGATAGATTATTGGTTAGTAAAAAATATACCGGTAGTACAGGGTGCATTAACAAAAATGGGAGTTTACTTGGAAGAAACCAGGTGAATACAAAACATAAAATATGAGCTTTGTAGCAGAAAAGTTAAAATTATTTTGAAATTTTGATGTCAAAATGGGATTTCTAAAATTTACAGGTAGTATAATTAACGAGAAACCAGGACTGGTTAGAACTGTATCCCAGAAAAAGATTTAGAGCTTTTCAGCTCTGTGCGAGGTCAGAGATTCTCATCCAGATAATTTTATAATTTTGCAAAAAGTTGAGAATTTGCATATGTACACTTTAAAACTGTATAATATTAAAACTACAGTTAATGAACAAATATTGAAGATACAAATATTCAGATTTTAGTTTGAATAATATTCATTGGCTTCTGTAGCATTTTATTAACAATAACGATGGCAAATCTAGCTTAACCAGTGGTAAGGGAGTTATCAGGAAACAAGGTATACTTTTGTAGTGCATATTTTTATTTTTTTGTAGATACATATTTTAAAGAAAACTAAAAGAAAAAAGTTGCTAGTATATCAGAATTTGGAAATTTTTAAGTTTCTCATCAGCAAAGTTTTCATTTCCCAGAATCCAATATGTGTTAAGATGCTGTTACTCCTTTTTCAAAGGTACTGTGCTGGTTGTCTACCGTGTTGCATGGCATCGATGAGTAAAACCAATAAAGGAGCTGAGCAGGCTGTTCTTCAGCAATTTACATGCTGGGTGTTTGCTGATTTGCAAAATTTAATAGTTATAGTACTTACTAGAATATTAGGCCATGCATGTATTAATTAGTATGTTTATAGTTAATGTTGAAAGAAATATTTGATTCCTTGCCTTGTATAATATTAGATCCTAGAGGCTTATCTTTACTCATTCAATAAAAAGTTTATTTTTTGTTTAATGAAGAGTTTTTCTTGGGCATATAGGCTTTTCTCTCCCTGTGCTGGCCCAGAATGGGTAGGGGGAGGGAGGGGGAAAAAGAGAGACAAAGGGAAATTTAAAAATACATTATTTAAGAGTTAAATATTGGCATTTGTTTAATGATACTGTATTGCAAAGGCCCTTATTTATTTAGATCCTTAAGGGGCTTGAATAAACAATTGGCTATTCCCTGGATAGATGTTAGATGGATGATCTGTTTGCATTTTCCTTTTTGTTCTTTTGGATGTCTGGAGAACTGTTAGTTTGAAGGAGCCTGTTTATCAGCACAAGGGTAAGGGAAGATAAGTCAGTATCATTCCACATGCCAGAAGTAGCCTCTGCGTTTACATAGGTGATTGTCTGTTGAAAATGTTTAATGTTATATTAACTTAACAATAAATTTATGATTTTTATTTTTATCCGAGTTAGAAATGTGCAGGATGTATTTAGAAATTACATTTTCTCTCTGGCAGGAATGAAAGACAACTTTGCCTGAAATTAGTGGCCTGTTTATTTTTTCACATGACTTTATTTTTCTTATAGGTATTGCTAATTGATATATTTATCTTAGTAAAGTGTTTTTTATGATTTAAAAAAGACCACTTTGTATAAATCCCTTTC